GATTGGGAGAATGTCATATGGTCAGATGAAACCAAAATAGAACTGTTTGGTAGAAACACAACTCGTCGTGTTTGGAGGAGAGAGAATGCAGAGTTGCATCCAAAGAACACCATACCTACTGTGAAGCATGGGGGTGGCAACATCATGCTTTGGGGCTGTTTCTCCGCAAAGGGACCAGGACGACTGATCCATGTACAGGACAGAATGAATGGAGCCATGTATCATGAGATTTTGAGTGCAAACCTCCTTCCATCAGCAAGGGCATTGAAGATGAAACGTGGCTGGGTCTTCCAACATGACAATGATCCCAAACATACCGCCCGGGCAACGAAGGAGTGGCTTCATAAGAAGCATTTCAAGGTCCTGGAGTGGCCTAGCCAGTCTCCAGATCTCAACCCCATAGAAAACCTTTGGAGGGAGTTGAAAGTCCGTGTTGCCCAGCGACAGCCCCCAAAACATCACTGCTCTAGAGGAGATCTGCATGGAGGATGGGCCAACATACCAGCAACAGTTGTATAGGTAAAAGACACACAGTGAGCGCTCTCAAAGAAACAGCAGATGAACATCCAGGATAAACGCATATAAAAATCCTCAATAAAACATATACATATAAAATGCAGCGCTGTAAAACGATCAAATCATGCAAATCAACACAATAATAGTCCTGAAAAGGTGCTCAATAATTCCCAGTGCCAATGGAAAGAATGCAAACTAACCAGAAGCGTATTTAAAATACGCATGTGTGTAAGAAATCCTGGAGATTCCCCTCTCTCCCTCTGGTCAGAAAATGGATATGTGCTGAAATGGATGACGATAACGCCCTCTTGTGGAAAAGCGAAATCCTGCAGGCCAGGAAGCTCCCAGGATAGGATATTCCTCTTCAATGGCACCAGGGCTGGGATTGAAATCACTCTGTGGCTGTGAAATTGGGAGAGGGACCCCTCACAGAGAACACAGAGAGATACTCATAGTGTAGTATATTACTTCACTTTATTTAAAAAAACCAAGTAAAAAGCATGTAATCAGGTGGCAAGTGAAAGTGACCCACTGACCCTCTTAAAATTAAAGGTGGCCGCCGGGCCTCCACATGGCACCGGCGGCGTAGTGTCAATGATGTCCACAGGCTCCCTCTGATGCGTTTCGTGCGCACGCACTTCTTCTGAGGTAGAGCAAGTTTGCTAGAGAGCATTTGGATGATCCAGAAGAGGATTGGGAGAATGTCATATGGTCAGATGAAACCAAAATAGAACTGTTTGGTAGAAACACAACTCGTCGTGTTTGGAGGAGAGAGAATGCTGAGATGCATCCAAAGAACACCATACCTACTGTGAAGCATGGGGGTGGCAACATCATGCTTTGGGGCTGTTTCTCCGCAAAGGGACCAGGACGACTGATCCATGTACAGGACAGAATGAATGGGGCCATGTATCGTGAGATTTTGAGTGCAAACCTCCTTCCATCAGCAAGGGCATTGAAGATGAAACGTGGCTGGGTCTTCCAACATGACAATGATCCCAAACATACCGCCCGGGCAACGAAGGAGTGGCTTCGTAAGAAACATTTCAAGGTCCTGGAGTGGCCTAGCCAGTCTCCAGATCTCAACCCCATAGAAAACCTTTGGAGGGAGTTGAAAGTCCGTGTTGCCCAGCGACAGCCCCAAAACATCACTGCTCTAGAGGAGATCCGCATGGAGGAGGAGATCTGCATGGAGGATGGGCCAACATACCAGCAACAGTGTGTGCCAACCTTGTGAAGACTTCCAGGAAACGTCTGACCTCTATCATTGCCAACAAAGGATATATAACAAAGTATTGACATGAACTTTTCATATTCACCAAATACTTATTTTCCACCATAATTTGCAAATAAATTCTTTCCAGATCAGCCAATGAGATTGTCTGGATTTGTTTTCTCATTTTGTCTCTCATAGTTGAGGTCTCCCTATGATGCCAATTACAGGCCTCTCTCATCTTTGTAAGTGGGAGAACTTGCACCATTGGTGGTGACTAAATACTTTTTTGCCCCACTGTACCTGCAGAAAGAAGAGGCGACATACTTATCATTCTGGCCGCCTACACTTATCCTAGCCCCCAGTACATACAGTGCCAGTGGAAGGAACTACTGATTGTGATAGGGAAAAGGATATTCACCTCATTTGGCCCATCGAATGGTTGTGATGGATAGATTAGCAGTATTTCAGCACATGGACGCCCAATATAAAACGTTTATTGCCTCTGGTTTTGCCTGTATGCTCCTTTGACCTTGAAGTGATAAAGATTTTTTTTTGCCTGAATATCTATGGATTTGGTTACTCAGTGATACCGCACTCTCTATTCCATATCACAGGAAATTCATCTAGATGTCCACATCTTTGGATCAACATTCATGATAAATGTTATTTCTTCTCTGAGGACCAAAAATACCATGAAGACAGCATTAAAGACTGCACAGAACGTGACTCCAGATTGGCTCTGGCAAAGGAGGAGAGCATGCGGGTCAGTGTCAAATGGGGTGTGAGATGGAGAACAGTTTGTGGCATATATACTGTATATTTTTAGTTCTAGTAATATTATTGATATCTCAAAATTTTATTTGCCTCGTGATTCTGACCCTGGTTCAGCTATGGGATTAGAAGCAGCAGCATCAGAACCATAGCAGGAATAATCCCCCCTGCAGCTATAATGGGGGTCCCAGGGATGGGGTTTCAGTCGATGTCTTAGATCTGGTGGAAGAAAAGCTCCTCTTGTTTTGCTGCACAGATTCAGCGCTGCAGCAATCCACAAGAAGGAAGCTGAGTCTCACACCAGGCCTGGCGCCATCACAATAATTCCAACAGATTGACTACAGTTTGACACTTTGGGGTTTATTACTAAAGCTGGAGAGTCCAAAATCAGACTCCCTTCTGCATAGAAACCAATCAGCTTCTAACCTCAGCTTGTTCAATGAAGCTTTGGCAATGAAACCTGGAAGCTGATTGGTTTCTATGCAGAAGGGAGTCTGATTTTGGACTCTCCAGCTTTAGTAAATAAACCCCTAAGTGTCAGGATCTCAAGTAGGACATGGGCCTTAGACTACAGCTTTAAATTGATGTCACCGAAGTTTTGTTAGTTGTCACCGTTGTCGGGATCATTGAAGCATGAACCTTACACTACAATGGCCTTTTATACTGTGTAAAGAGGGATTTATCATAGGCTATCTGCCGCTGATGGGGTCCATTAAAAATGTTCAAATTCTAGATACATCTCTGGAAAGAAAGTGTCCTCCAGGTCACACAACACAGCCAGGTGGAAAATTTTGTTGAGTTCTGCTACAATCTGAATGGCATAGGCCAGTGGTCGGCAAGCCGCGGCTCGCGAGCCACATGCGGCTCTTTACAAACTTCAATGCGGCTCTTCTGTGTGCCGGGTGCCCGCTCCCCTCCCTCCTCTCGGGCGGCCGGCTGCCCCCCCCCTCCCTCCCTCCTCTCGGGCGGCCTCCCCCTCCCCTCCCTCCTCTCGGGCGGCCGCCCCAAAAGTCAGGACTCTGCAGCTGTCAGGATGTAGGCGGGGCAGCCAGGATGTAGGCGGGGCAGCGTGACGAACTCCTCTCCTCTCACAGTCCGCCCTGAAGACCAGAACGGCGCGGGAACACGGCGAGAGGAACGCGCGGAGCAAAGGTAAGTGAATTGACACAGGGGGGACTTACTATATGGGGAATGAATTACTATATGGGGAATGAATTACTATATGGGGGACTTACTATATGGGGGATGTATTACTATGGGGGATGAATTACTATGGGGGATGAATTACTATATGGGGGATGAATTACTATATGGAGGATGAATTACTATATGGGGGATGAATTACTATAGGGGGGATGAATTACTATGGGGATGAATTACTATATGGGGGGGATGAATTACTATATGGGGGATGAATTACTATATGGGGGATGAATTACTATGGGGGATGAATTACTATATGGGGGATGAATTACTATGGGGGATGAATTACTATATGGGGGATGAATTACTATATGGGGGATGAATTACTATGGGGGATGAATTACTATATGGGGGATGAATTACTATGGGGGATGAATTACTATATGGGGGATGAATTACTATATGGGGGATGAATTACTATGGGGGATGAATTACTATATGGGGGATGAATTACTATGGGGGATGAATTACTATGGGGGATGAATTACTATATGGGAGATGTATTTTCAGTTTTAAAAATGTGGCTCTCAAAATAAATTTCAATTGTGGTTTTGGCGAGATTTGGCTCAGTTGAAAAAAAAGGTTGCCCACCACTGGCATTGGCCGATTGTACATGAACTCCTGAAGCCATGGAATGGCCCCATTCAGAAAGCCTAGGCGCTGCAGCTCCCCATAGATAGAAATGGCAGTGTGGTGTACTGGTGTGGTGTATTTAGGGCGGCATTTCTCAGGGGGGTCAGCACTGCCCTTCAGAAGAAGGGACAGAAAAAGGGACACACACTGCCTGGGGACCTGGTGGGTTCCAAGAGAGGCTGCAGGTTTCATGATGTTGTATGCACAGCCAGGCTCACTCCTGGGGATGTCCAGAGCTGTGAAAGGTGAGTGTCTTTCTCTCTCTCTCGCCATGGGGGATGGTGGCTGGTGTATGGTGGGCAGTGGTAGTGGAAGGCTCTCTCGGGAGGGAGGAAGGGGTGTATTTACCACAGGGCATTTGCCTAAGGTGGCATTTCTCAGAAGAAGGGACGGAAGAAGGGACATACGTGGCATGGGGACCTGGTGAGTTCCAAGAGAGGCTGCAGGTTTCATGACAGTGTATGCACAGCCCGACTCTCGTTCCCGGGGATGTCCAGAGCTGTGAAGGTGAATGTCTTTCTCTCTCTCGCCATGGGGGATGGTGGCTGGTGTTTGGGGGGCAGTGGTAGTGGAAGGCTCCCTCGGGTAGGAGGCAGGGGTGTATTTACCACAAGGCATTTGCCTAATATGGCATTTCTCAGAAGAAGGGACAGAAGATGAGGGACACACGTGGCATGGAGACCTGGTGGGTTCCGAGAGAGGCTGCGGGTTTCATGATGGTGTATGCACAACCCGACTCCCGTTCCTGGGGATGTCCGGAGCTGTGAAGGTGAATGTCTTTCTCTCTCTCATCACCTTGGGGATGGTGGCTGGTGTATGGGGGGCAGTGTTAGGGGAAGGCTCTCTCGGGTGGGAGGCAGGGGTGTATTTATCACAAAGGCATTTGCCTAGGGTGACCTTTCTCAGGGGGGCAGCACTGCCCCTCAGAAGTAGGGATAGATGAAAGGACACACGCGGCATGGGGACCTGGTGGGTTCCAAGAGAGGCTGCGGGTTCATGACGGTGTGTATGCACAGCCTGACTCTCATTCCCCGGGATGTGTCCAGAGCTGTGAAGGTAAGTGTCTTTCTCTCTCTCGCCATGGGGGATGGTGGCTGGTGTATGGGGGGCAGTGGTAGGGTAGGCTCTCTCGGGTGGGAGGCAGGGGTGTATTTACCACAAGGCATTTGCCTAGGGTGCCATTCCTCAGGGGGGGCAGCACTGCCCCTCAGAAGAAGGGACAGAAGAAGAGACACAGGCAGCATGGGACCTGGTGGGTTCCAGGAGAGGCTGCGGGTTTCATGACGGTGTATGCACAGCCTGACTCTCGTTCCCGGGAATGTCCAGAGCTGTGAAGGTGAATGTCTTTCTCTCACTCGCCATTGGGATGGTGGCTGGTGTATGGTGGGCAGTGGTAGTGGAAGGCTCTCTCTGGTGGGAGTCAGGGGTGTTGTTGGTCAATATCAGGCTCTCTCTGTGGGGGGGGGGCAATTTTTGTGTTGCCTAGGGCAGCACAAAACCTAAATACATCACTGAGTATATGCATATGAGGTATGTAAAAAATAAATGACAAACTCTTCTAAGCTCAAGTGTGAAGCCTCTCATGAGCGTAGATGGTAAATATTCCACTGGAAGGGTCCCAGGCACCACATACAACAAGCTTTGCAGCAGTCTATGCAGGCAGGGAAGGTGCAAAGCTGCACAGTATAAGAAACAAAGGAGGGCATACCAGCCTAATCACAAGTATACATCCTAGGTTGGCTCAGATGACATCCAATAAACTCAACGCATGTAGCGCCTTCGTCTAGTCAGGCTACAAGGTCACATTTCGTTTTTGGCTGCACTGTAGTGCGTGGAGCAATGACTGAATTCTGTGATCTGTACAGGGTTTCTTGAGATGGACTTTTCCCCGATTTGTTTGGCCTGTTTTTGGAAGACGTTTCAAGAGCACAGAGCAGGGAGATTCAGACTATCATCTGAATATTCATCATCCCCCAGCCAATCCCTAAAAGGAAGATTCAGAAGGTGGCTGGGGAAATGTGCAGAAGGCCTAAGCAGATTGTCTTTCCTCTCTCCAAGGAAGGTTTTGGTATCCTGGAGGGGGCAGCTGCCCCTGGGAGAGAGAGATACTGAGACAAGAGATTGCAGTCTGGGCCTCAGCATGGGCAAGACTCACCATTTAGGACCACATCAAGGAAAATCCTGATATGGAATCTAAAAGGACCACATGTCAATGACTTCATGGGGTTTATTTACTAAAGCTGAGGAGTCCAAAATCAGACTCCCTTCTGCATAGAAACCAATCAGCTTCTAACCTCAGCTTGTTCAATGAAGCTTATTGGCAATGAAATCCAATCCTGGAAGCTGATTGGTTTCTATGCAGACAAGGTCACTGATTTTGGACTGCACTCCAGCGTGGAGCAATAACCCCCATGTGTCTTTGTTTATATGCTGCACAAGGTTTCTTATTTTTGAAATTTGGCATTGGACAAGACCCAGACACAGAGGCAGGGAGATTTGGACGCATCTCATAAATTATCCCCCAGAATTTCCTCCATATTATTGGGCAATGCTGGAAGACTCCAAGGGAAGGCAAATGTAACATAAGTCCTCTATATACTGTAGGTGACTGGCTTGGAAAGTGTTGGAAAATTGCAGCCCCTTCCCAATTGGCAACCATTTAGGACCACATCAGGGAAACCTATTAGTCTACAGAGGACCATGTCTATGACATAGACTGCTGTATATGCTGTACAAGAGCAGATTCCAGCTTAAAATTCACAGTCCAGATTGACCCACATTTACTTCATAATTTTGGACAAAATAGCACCTTCTATCATTTATATTTCCAGCTGGAACACTGTTGTCTGGGGCCAGTAGAAGGTGCTGGGAGTACAGATGATCAGATGGTGAATAATCTGCTGTGTATTGTATTCTCCAGAGAATGGTGACCATCACAGGAAAGGAATTCTGGATCGGATTAACACAATATAACACCCATGATGCAACGTGGGCAGGGAGATGGGCAGACGGCACTACGGAGTAAGTAACACTTAGCATTTAGTAAATATCCTCAAAACATATTTTGGTTTTCAAAACAGAACTAAGAAATACAACATCTAAATAGGTCTCTTCCATTGTTTCTGGGGAGAAGATCTCACTTGGACAATGCACGCGTCCCATTCATATCATCAAACCAGATTGGGTGATCCAGGATTCAGTGTGGATCAGTGGGATGTGCTTGATGCTGATTCCCATCACCTGCACCTGGTGTTCCTCAATAGACTAGGCTAGATGTCTAGGACCAGGCTAGTTGTCTAGGACCAGGCTAGGTGTCTAGGACCAGGCTAGGTTCTAGGACCATGCTAGGTGTCTGGGACCAGGCTAGGTGTCTAGGACCAGGCTAGGTGACTAGGACCAGGCTAGGTGACTCGGACCAGGCTAGGTGTCTAGGACCTGGCTAGGTGTCTAGGACCAGGCTAGGTGTCTAGGACTTGGCTAGGTGTCTAGGACCTCGCTAGGTATCTAGGACCAGGCTAGGTGTCCATGACCAGGCTAGGTGTCTAGGACTAGGCTAGGTGTCTAGGACATGGCTAGGTGTCTAGGACCAGGCTAGGTGTCTAGGACCAGGCTAGGTGTCTAAAAGCAGGCTAGGTGTCCATGACCAGGCTAGGTGTCTAGGACTAGGCTAGGTGTCTAGGACCAGGCTAGGTGTCTAGGACCAGGGTGTCTAGGATAGGTGTCTAGGACAGGCTAGGTGTCTAGGACTAGGCTAGGTGTCTAGGACCAGGCTAGGTGTCTAGGACTAGGCTAGGTGTGTCTAGGACTTGGCTAGGTGTCCATGACCAGGCTAGGTGTCTAGGACTAGGCTAGGTGTCCATGACCAGTTTAGGTGTCTACTAGGCTAGTGTCTAGGACCAGGCTAGGTGTCTAGGACCAGGCTAGGTGTCTAGGACTAGGCTAGGTGTCCATGACCAGGCTAGGTGTCTAGGACCAGGCTAGGTGTCCATGACCAGGCTAGGTGTCCATGACCAGGCTATGTGTCTAGGACTAGGCTAGGTGTCCATGAGGTAGGTGTCTAGGACCTAGGACCAGGCTAGGTGTATAGTACTTGGCTAGGTGTCTAGGACTAGGCTAGATGTCTAGGACCAGGCTAGGTGTCTAGGACTTGGCTAGGTGTCTAGGACCAGGCTAGGTGTCTAGGACCAGGCTAGGTGTCTAGGACCAGGACTAGGACCTGGCTAGGTGTCTAGGACCAGGCTAGGTGTCTAGGACTAGGCTAGGTGTCCATGACCAGGCTAGGTGTCTAGGACCAGGCTAGGTGTCCATGACCAGGCTAGGTGTCCATGACCAGGCTATGTGTCTAGGACTAGGCTAGGTGTCCATGACCAGGCTAGGTGTCTAGGACTAGGCTAGGTGTCTAGGACCAGGCTAGGTGTATAGTACTTGGCTAGGTGTCTAGGACTAGGCTAGATGTCTAGGACCAGGCTAGGTGTCTAGGACTTGGCTAGATGTCTAGGACCAGGCTAGGTGTCTAGGACCAGGCTAGGTGTCTAGGACCAGGCTAGGTGTCTAGGACTTGGCTAGATGTCTAGGACCAGGCTAGGTGTCTAGGTAGGTGTCTAGGACCAGGCTAGGTGTCTAGGACCAGGCTAGGTGTCTAGGACCAGGCTAGGTGTCTAGTAAATGAGTTCTAGGACCTGGCTATGTCTAGATGATGATTATTATTATTATTAATAATAATAATAATCTTCCTCTAATAATAATAATAGTAAAACAGTTTTATTATTATTACATCATCAAAATTATCATCATCATCATAAAAATAATATATTTTTTCTGCTTCTTCTACTTCTTTGTATTGTTAACAATAATATTAATAATAATGTTGCTGTTGTCGCTATTATTATTATTATTATTATTTATGTAATTTTATCTTCCATCCAGAAATGTCACCGATGGAACGGGAAGCTGTGCCAAGGTCGGATCGCGCCTTAGCTGGGAGAACTGTTATACTGCCCTGAGGTGGATCTGTGAAAGAGATGCTGAATGATTGCCCTGATCTGTGACAGAGACCATGTGTGACCGCTCTGGTCTGTTAGAACTGAGTGATTGAACGGATCTGAGGAATGCTGTGCGAAGGTTCCGGTCAATGGGTGATGATGCTGTGAACGGATCTGAGGAATGCTGTGCGAAGGTTCCACTCAATGGGTGATGATGCTGTGAACGGATCTGAGGAATGCTGTGCGAAGGTTCCACTCAATGGGTGATGATGCTGTGAATGGATCTGAGGAATGCTGTTTAAAGGTTCCGGTCACTGGGTGATGATGCTGTGAATGGATCTGAGGAATGCTGTGTGAAGGTTCTGCTCGCTGGGTGATGATGCTGTGAACGGATCTGAGGAATGCTGTGCGAAGGTTCCGCTCACTGGGTGATGATGCTGTGAATGGATCTGAGGAATGCTGTGTGAAGGTTCTGCTCGCTGGGTGATGATGCTGTGAACGGATCTGAGGAATGCTGTGCGAAGGTTCCGCTCGCTGGGTGATGATGCTGTGAACAATCTGAGGAATGCTGTGTGAAGGTTCCGCTCGCTGTGATGATGCTGTGAACGGATCTGAGGAATGCTGTTTAAAGGTTCCGGTCACTGGGTGATGATGCTGTGAATGGATCTGAGGAATGCTGTGTGAAGGTTCTGCTCGCTGGGTGATGATGCTGTGAACGGATCTGAGGAATGCTGTGCGAAGGTTCCGCTCACTGGGTGATGATGCTGTGAATGGATCTGAGGAATGCTGTGTGAAGGTTCTGCTCGCTGGGTGATGATGCTGTGAACGGATCTGAGGAATGCTGTGCGAAGGTTCCGCTCGCTGGGTGATGATGCTGTGAACAAATCTGAGGAATGCTGTGTGAAGGTTCCGCTCGCTGGGTGATGATGCTGTGAACGGATCTGAGGAATGCTGTTTTAAAAGGTTCCGGTCACTGGGTGATGATGCTGTGAATGGATCTGAGGAATGCTGTGTGAAGGTTCTGCTCGCTGGGTGATGATGCTGTGAACGGATCTGAGGAATGCTGTGCGAAGGTTCCGCTCGCTGGGTGATGATGCTGTGAACAAATCTGAGGAATGCTGTGTGAAGGTTCCGCTCGCTGGGTGATGATGCTGTGAACGGATCTGAGGAATGCTGTGCGAAGGTTCTGCTCACTGGGTGATGATGCTGTGAACGGATCTGAGGAATGCTGTGTGAAGGTTCCACTCGCTGGGTGATGATGCTGTGAATGGATCTGAGGAATGCTGTGTGAAGGTTCCGGTCACTGAGTGATGATGCTGAATTGTATATAGAATACTATTGGAGCCATGGCTGTATTTGTACATTTTCTGAGTGATACAATCATTGATACTGATATGTGAAGACTGATTACTGCAATAATAAAGGAAGTCTCCTCCCAGCCAAGACTGTTTGTAATATGAGCTCAACAGAGGAGAGCAGAGCTGGGGAAGGCAGTTTTCTGACCCTACAGGTCTTAGAGTGCAAGAACTCCAGGGTTCAAAGTCCGTAAAATGTTTAGGGGAGGTCCAAGCTGCAAGACCATGAGGAAGGTGAGATCCAAGCTGCAAGACCATGAGGAAGGTGAGATCCAAGCTGCAAGACCATGAGGCAGGTGAGATCCAAGCTGCAAGACCATGAGGCAGGGGAGGTCCAAGCTGAAAGGCCATGAGGCAGGGGAGATCCAAGCTGCAAGACCATGAGGCAGGGGAGATCCAAGCTGCAAGACCATGAGGCAGGGGAGGTCCAAGCTGAAAGGCCATGAGGCAGGGGAGGTCCAAGTTACAAGACAATGAGGCAGGGGAGGTCCAAGTTACAAGACAATGAGGCAGGGGAGGTCCAAGTTACAAGACAATGAGGCAGGGGAGGTCCAAGCTACAAGACAATGAGGCAGGGGAGGTCCAAGTTACAAGACAATGAGGCAGGGGAGGTCCAAGTTACAAGACAATGAGGCAGGGGAGGTCCAAGCTACAAGACCAAGAGGCAGGGGAGGTCAAAACTGCAAAACCATGAGGCATTGGAGGTCCAAGCTGCAAGACCATGAGGCAGGGGAGATCCAAGCTGCAAGACCATGAGACAGGGAAGGTCCAAGTTACAAGACAATGAGGCAGGGGAGGTCCAAGCTACAAGACCAAGAGGAAGGGGAGGTCAAAACTGTAAGACCATGAGGCATTGGAGGTCCAAGCTGCAAGACCATGAGGCAGGGGAGGTCCAAGCTGCAAGACCATGAGGCAGGGGAGGTCCAAGCTACAAGACCATAAGGCAGGGGTGGTCCAAGCTACAAGACCATAACATAGGGGAGGTCCAAACTGCAAGACCATGAGGCAAGGGAGGTCCAAGCTGAAAGACCATGAGGCAGGGGAGGTCCAAGCTGCAAGACCATGAGGCAGGGGAGGTCCAAGCTACAAGACCATAAGGCAGGGGTGGTCCAAGCTACAAGACCAATACATAGGGGAGGTCCAAGCTGCAAGACCACGAGGCAGGGGAGGTCCAAACTGCAAGACCATGAGGCAAGGGAGGTCCAAGCTGAAAGACCATGAGTTAGGGGAGGTCCAAGCTGCAAGACCATGAGGCAGGTGAGGTCCAAGCTGCAAGACCATAAGTTAGGGCAGGTCCAAGCTGCAAGACCATGAGGCAGGGGAGGTCCAAGCTGCAAGACCATGAGGCAGGTGAGGTCCAAGCTACAAGACCATGAGTCAGTCTCCAGATTCTACAAGTGGAATGGAGGTGATGTTGCCCTGACAAAATTTCCCCTTTGCTTTTGAAATCTTCGATATATCAAGAAAGGCAAAGACTGCAAACTCCTTTCATTAAAGGAGACTTCTGAAGAGGTCAGGCTATTTGTTGGAAAAACAAAAAATCTCCAGGTAAGGCAACATTCCCAGCTCATTGGTCTCAGGGTATGATTCTTGCTTTGGGTGTGAAAGATCCTGGATTCAAATCCCAGATGAGCCCACAAGGCAATGTTTTTCATCCCTGTGGAACCCGTCACCAAAGAGTTGGTTTTACTGTCACTTGCAGGTAGCGGTCATCGCGTAACCCTTTCTCAGGGCAGTCAGTCCAGCTACATTCAGATGGTTTTCCCCTTTTTTTGACAAAACACTTCAAATGGAGCCTGCGGCCTTCTTTCAACACATCTGGTGACAATGTACGTGGCATAAAGCTGGAATTGCATCCATAGCTTGACCCTTAGTATTGCCATGTTCAGTTTCTACAAAGACCCTGCTGCCTTCTCTGAGCTTGCTGCCAACAATTTGAGTTGCATTCAGTTGAAATTGCACCCAAAGCTTAGCCCTTAGTGCTACCATGCTGACTTTCCACATGAAGTGCAAGAGGTGCTGACCAGCCCCGTTCACTGCTGGGACTTTTTAACTGCCTCCCGCCCACCATATAGTGTAAAGAGGGACACAAGGAGGTTCTCTCAATCTGTGAGGAGTCATATGACGTCCTCTCGTTTCTCACCTCACATGCGCTGCTCAGGGAGTGTGCAGCGTGGCGATCGTCAGTGCGCTGTGTCCCTCGGACACAGCAGATCACCGATCCACGGAAAGCCGAAGATGTTGGCTCAGTCATGTGATCAGCTGTGTCCAATCACAGCTGATCACATGTAAACAGGGAAATGCCGGTTATCAGCATTTCTCTCCTCTCGAGCTGTCACACTGACAGAGGTGAGGAGAGCCGGTAATCGGCATTACTCAGAGGGGACATCTACACTGACCATCAGAGCACTGATGATCAGTGTGCCCTGATGATCAGTGTGGCCCCAGAAGTGCCACCTGCCAGTGCTCATCAGTGCCACATCAATGCCACATATCAGTGCCCATCTGAGCTGCCTTTCAGTGTCACCCATCAGTGCAAGTCAGTGACGCCAATCAGTGCCACCTATCGGTGCTGCCAATCAGTGCCACCTATCAGTGCCAGTCAGTGCTGCCTATCAGTGCCAGTCAGTGCCGTCTAACAGTGCCAGTCAGTGCCACCTAACAGTGCCAGTCAGTGCTGCCTATCAGTGCCAGTCAGTGACGCCTATCAGTGCCGCCTATCAGTGCCATATATCAGTGCTGCCTTTCAGTGCCCATCAGTGATGCCTGTCAATGCTCATCAGTGCCACCTACCAGTGCCTCCTCATCAGTGCCTCCTCATCAGTGCCGCCTATCAGTGTCCATCAGTGCAGCCTATCAGTGCCCATCACTGCAGCCTCATTAGCTCACATCAGTGAAGGAGAAAAATCACTTATTTACAAACTTTTAATTAAAAACTAAGAAAAAATGTTTTTTCGGACCAGCCCGTGTTTAGCCTACGATTCGGCATTCTAAAGAGAGGTGCGGTTTAGATGGAGGACGGAATCCCTGCCAGGAAGCATGCTTGCAGTAGCCAAAAGTGTGTAAAGGCTCTTGCATCTCCAAAGTGCGGAACAGATACTTCTGAGAAAATTGACAAACTGTGCCTCTTGGTTTCTTCCTCTTCTTTCTTTTTCTTTTCATTCATTTCTTCATTTTTTTTTTTTTTCTTGATTCTTTTCTTGGCATCCAGAGCATGAACTCGGCTCAGTGATTGGCTTCCTTTTGGTCCAGAGTATTTATTGGGTTCAGTGCTGGGCTTATTGGAATCGAGGGTATTAACTGGGCTCAGTGATGGGCTTTCTTGGGGTTCAAAAGATGTACTTGGTTCAGTGCTGGGTTTACTTTGGGTTCAGGGGGTAAACTAGGCTCATTACTGGGTTTACTTGGGCCCGAGAGGGAACTTGACTGAGTGCTGAGTTTTCTTGGCATCCAGTGAATAAACTGGGCTCAATGATGGGCTTTCTTGGGGTCCAAAGGATTTACTGAGTTCAGTGCTGGGCTTACTTGCAGGCCAGGGTATTAATTGGGCTCAGTAATGGGATTTCTTGGGGTCCAGAAGATGTACTGGGCTCAGTGCTGGGTGCACTTTGGGTCCATGGGGTAAACTGGGCTCATTACTGGGTTTACTTGGGGCCCAGAGGGAACTTGACTCAGTGCTGGGCTTACTTGGCATCCAGAGCATGAACTGGGCTTAGTGATTGGCTTCCTTTGGGTCTAGAGGATTTATTCAGTGCTGGGCTTATTTGGAGTCAAGGGGGGGCTATTAACTGGGCTCAGTGATGGGCTTCCTTGGGGTTCAGAAGATGTACTTGGCTCAGTGCTAGGGTTTACTTTGAGCTCAGGGGGTAAAATTGGGCCCATTACTGGGCTTTCTTGGGGTCCAGAGGATGTACTGGGATCAGTGCTGGGTTTACTTGGGGCCCAGAGGGAACTTGACTTAGTGATGGGTTTACTTGGCATCCAGCGCATGAACTGGGCTCAGTGATGGGTTTCCTTGGGGTCCAGAGGATAAATTGGGCTTAGTGATGGGCTTACTTGGGGTCCAGAGGATGTACTGGGCTCAGTGCTGGGTTTACTTTGGTTCTGGTGAAAACAGGGCTCAGTGCTGGGTTTCCTTGGGGCCCAGAGGGAACTTGACTCAGTGCTGGGTTAACTTGGCATCCAGAGCATGAACTGGGTTCAGTGATGGTCTTTCTTGGGGTCCAGAGGATTTATTGGGTTCAGTGCTGGGCTTACTTGGAGTCAAAGGTAATAATTGGGCATCCAGAACATGAACTGGGCTCAGTGATGGGCTTCCTTTGGGCTCAGAATATGGACAAGGCTCTGTGATACGCTTTCTTGGGGTCCAGGGGTTTCAGTGGGCTCAGTGGCTTTCCTGGGGTTCAGATGATGGAACTGGACTCTTGTGCTGAGTGTGACAGCAATACCTCCAGGTATGGGGAGGGTATCACGGACACTGTGTCCTCTTCCTGGTCGGAGAAGATTGGTACGTTTCTGCTCTTTAGGACTGAAGATCAGCGGGCACTGGGCATTCGGGGCTGTGATAGCCTGGTCAGGGTGCATTCTGGGTATTACTGTCACTCTTCATCTTTAGAAAATAGTTCTACCGGATATCCAAAATTCACTGACTTCCTGCCATGAGTGAGGAATACCCACACTCCTCCCACCGTACAAAGAGGAGGGCAGGAAGGGGCTCAGCCATGTCAACCCATCCTATACGGAAGAGGAAGTGACATCACTGCCATGGCTCTATTATTCCTATTGATTCCAATGGGGTTCAAGTCTTGCTGATAGCGGACCGGGGCAGCCTGGCTCACCCTACAGACAACATATCATGTCTATGATGTATGTACCGTGTACTGTGCTGTCCGGTCATGTGACAATACCGCCTCCGGAACAATGGAAATTGTCGACTTTTCAACAAACTTTAATAGGAAAACATTAGATGGGGATTCATTTACAGCACAGGTGATGGAGACAGACGTGGTCACATGACACAGAACACTGATACAATGTATTCATTCTGAATTATATGAATGAAAGTGCAGAAACGTCACATGGAAAACGGAACCCCAACATTTACCACCATGTTCCAGATTAGGGGCCAATCATCAGAACCTCCTCGGGGCATATTCAGGGGGGACCTGTCATACACTATATTGCCACAAGTATTGGGCCCGCCCTCCAAGTCATGTGATATAGGAGTACCAATACCCTCCATATCATGTGATTCAGGTGTTCCAATCCCCTCCCAACCATGTAATTCAGGTGTTCCAATCCCCTCCATATCATGTGATTCAGGTGTTCCAATCCCCTCCCAATCATGTGATTCAGGTGTTCCAATTCCCTCCATATCATGTGATTCAGGTGTTCCAATCCCCTTCATATCATGTGATTCAGGTGTTTCAATCCCCTTCATATCATGTGATTCAGGTGTTCCAATCCCTCCAAGTCATGTGATATAGGAGTACCAATACCCTCCATATCATGTGATTCAGGTGTTCCAATCCCCTCCCAACCATGTAATTCAGGTGTTCCAATCCCCTCCATATCATGTGATTCAGGTGTTCCAATCCCCTCCCAATCATGTGATTCAGGTGTTCCAATTCCCTCCATATCATGTGATTAAGGTGTTCCAATCCCCACCATATCATGTGATTCAGGTGTTCCAATCCCCTTCATATCATGTGATTCAGGTGTTCCAATCCCTCCAAGTCATGTGATTCAGGTGTTCCAATCCCCTCCCAGTCATGTGATTCAGGTGTTCCAATCCCCTCCATATCATGTGATTCAGGTGTTCCAATCCCCTTCATGTCATGTGATTCAGGTGTTCCAATCCCCTCCAAGTCATGTGATTCAGGTGTTCCAATCCCCTCCATGTCATGTGATTCAGGTGTTCCAATCCCCTCCATATCATGTGATGCAGTTGTTCCAATCCCCTCCCAGTCATGTGATTCAGGTGTTCCAATCCCCTCCATATCATGTGATGCAGTTGTTCCAATCCCCTCCCAATCATGTGATTCAAGTGTTCCAATCCCCTCCATATCATGTGATTCAGGAGTTCCAATCCCCTCCATATCATGTGATTCAGGTGTTCCAATCCCCTCCATATCATGTGATTCAGGTGTTACAATCCCCTCCCAATCTTGTGATTCAGGTGTTCCAATACCCTCCATATCATGTGATTCAGGTGTTCCAATCCCTTCCATATCATGTGATTCAGGTGTTCCAATCCCTTCCAAATCATGTGATTCAGGTGTCCCCGCCCTTCATATCATGTGATTTAGATGTTCCAATACCCACCCAATCATATGATTCAGGTGTTCCAATCCCCTCCATATCATGTGATTCAGGTGTTCCAATCCCCTCCATATCATGTGATTCAGGTGTTCCAATCCCCTCCATATCATGTGATTCAGGTGTTCCAATCCCCTCCATGGACACAGGTGTATACAATCACGCCCCTAGGCATGCAGACTGCTTCTACAAACATTGGTGAAAGAATGGGTCGCTCTCAGGAGCTCAGTGACTCCAAGCGTGGTCCCGTGATAGGTGGCCACCTGGGCAATAAGTCCATCCGTGACATTTCCTGGCTACTAAATATTCCACGCTCAACTGTTAGTGGGATTATAACAAAGTGGAAGCAGCTGGGAACAACAGCCACTCAGCCACCAAGTGGTAGGCCACGTCACATGACAGGGCGGGGTCAGCGCATGCTGAAGCGCACAGTGCGCAGAAGTCACCAACTGTCTGCAGAGTCAATAGCTAAAGACCTCCAAACTTGGTGTGGCCTTCAGATGAGCCCAACAACAGTGCATAGAGAGCTTCATGGAATGGGTTTCCATGGCCGAGCAGCTGCATCCAAGCCTTCCATCACCAAGTGCAATGCAAAGCGTTGGATGCCGTGGTGTAAAGCACGCCGCCACTGGACTCTAGAGCAGAGGAGGCGTGTTCTCTGGAGTGATCAATCATGCTTCTCTGTCTGGCAATCCAATGGATGTGTCTGGGTTTGGCGGTGGCCAGGAGATCGGTACTTGCCTGACTGCATTGTGCCAAGTGTAAAGTTTGGTGGAGGGGGGATAATGGTGTGTAGTTGTTTTTCAGGGGTTGGGCTTGGCCCCCTAGTTCCAGTGAAGGGAACTCTTAAGGCGACATTTTGGACAATTTCATGCCCCCAACTTTGTGGGAGGAGTTTGGGGATGGCCCCTTCCTGTTCCAACATGACTGCCCACCAGTGCACAAAGCAAGGTCCATAAAGACATGGAGGAGCCAGTTTGGGGTGGAGGAACTTGACTGTCCTGCACAGAGTCCTGACCTCAACCCCATAGAACACCTTTGGGATGAATTAGAGCAGAGACTGCGAGCCAGGCCTCCTCCCCCGACATCAGTGCCCCTGACCTGACAAAATGTGCTTCTGGAAGAATGGTCCAACCTTCCCATAGACACCCTCCTAAACCTTGTGGACGGCCTTCCCAGAAGAGTTGAAGCTGTTATAGCTGCAAAGGGCGGGGCCAACTCAATATTGAACCCTACGGACTAAGACTGGGGGGCCATTAAAGTTCATGTGCGTGGAAAGGGCGGGGCAAACTCAATATTGAACCCTACGGACTAAGACTGGGAGGCCATTAAAGGTCATGTGCGTGGAAAGGGGGGGGGCAAACTCAATATTGAACCCTACGGACTAAGACTGGGGGGCCATTAAAGGTCATGTGCGTGGAAAGGGCGGGGCCAACTCAATATTGAACCCTAGGGACTAAGACTGGGGGGCCATTAAAGGTCATGTGGGTGGAAAGGGCGGGGCCAACTCAATATTGAACCCTACAGACCAAGACTGGGGGGCCATTGCAATTCATGTGCGTGGAAAGGGCGGAGACCCAATACTTTCTGTGATATAGTGTATATAAACCTCCTATACCCTGAGACTGGGGTTCTCGTTGCTGATAGTGTGTGTGACGTCATCATGCTGGGATCAGTGGCGCTCTCTGTGGCCCTCACACAATCGATGTCTATGACTCATGCCAGGGTTAAGTATATTGCTAAGTTATTTGAAATCGATCGATGCACTGTGAGGAAAATATTATAAAAGCGGCGCAGATTTCAAACGACAACCAGAAGATGGAAGTCTCCAAACCCCCCCCCCCCCCCAAATTTTTTGCAGGCAAGAGGGGTGTCAGTAGTGATTGGCGGGTGTTATATATCCTGGGGGAGGGGTGTCAGTAGTGATTGGCGGGTGTTATATATCCTGGGGGGGAGGGGGTGTCAGTAGTGATTGGTGGGTATTATATAGCCCGGGGGGAGGGGTATCAGTAGTGATTGGTGGGTGTTATATATCCCGGGGGGGGGTATCAGTAGTGATTGGTGGGTTTTATATATCCTGGGGGGGGAGGGGTGTCAGTAGTGATTGGCGGGTGTTATACATCCCGGGGGGAGGTGTGTCAGTAGTGATTGGTGGGTGTTATATATCCCGGGGGGAGGGGTGTCAGTAGTGATTGGTGGGTGTTATATATCCCGGGGGAGGGGTGTCAGTAGTGATTGGTGGGTGTTATATATCCTGGGGGGAGGGGTGTCAGTAGTGATTGGCGGGTGTTATATATCCTGGGGGGGGAGGGGTGTCAGTAGTGATTGGTGGGTATTATATAGCCCGGGGGGAGGGGTATCAGTAGTGATTGGTGGGTGTTATATATCCCGGGGGGAGGGGTATCAGTAGTGATTGGTGGGTTTTATATATCCTGGGGGGGAGGGGTGTCAGTAGTGATTGGCGGGTGTTATATATCCCGGGGGGAGGTGTGTCAGTAGTGATTGGTGGGTGTTATATATCCCGGGGGAGGGGTGTCAGTAGTGATTGGTGGGTGTTATATATCCCGGGGGAGGGGTGTCAGTAGTGATTGGCGGGTGTTTATATATCCCGGGGGGAGGGGTGTCAGTAGTGATTGGTGGGTGTTATATATCCCGGGAGGAGGGGGTGTCAGTAGTGATTGGCGGGTGTTATATATCCCTGGGGGGGAGGGGTGTCAGTAGTGATTGGTGGGTATAATATATCCCGGGGGGGAGGGGTATCAGTAGTGATTGGTGGGTGTTATATATCTAGGGGGGAGGGGTGTCAGTAGTGATTGGGGGTGTTATATATCCTATCAGTAGTGATTGGTGGGTATAATATATCCCGGGGGGAGGGGTATCAGTAGTGATTGGCGGGTGTTATATATCCCGGGGGGAGGGGTGTCAGTAGTGATTGGTGGGTGTTAGATATCCCGGGGGGAGGGGATGTCAGTAGTGATTGGTGGGTGTTATATATCCCGGAGGGAGGGATCAGTAGCAGATAAAACTAAGGTTGGTGGCACAGCATTGGTCATACCAGGTGAAGTTGTTTCCTGGTGAGATGAGGGTACACAAGTTGCTGTTGGGGTCACTAGGCTCCCCGTCCCCCCAGTACATGTAGTCGGTGGGTTTTCCATCCATCCAGTACAGGTACCCCCACACTTTGTGCCTGCGGAGGCCGATCCATAGTCCGCTCCCCAACGCTCCGGCCTGCTTTATCATGGTGACCACGTGGTTCTGACTGGTGTCATCCCGGATACTGAGCAGGTCGGTGTAGTGTTGGCGGCAGTAGCGTAGGGCGTCCCACCAACTAAGGGGCGTGGTCATCAAGTAGATGTCAGCCAATCCATCTGCAGGAGGAGGACAGACGTGTTAGAGGAGGTCAGGAAGTGGGAATTCACATACATGATAAGCTGCAACTCCAACATGAATTCAGGCCAACCCGGGACAACACGGCCTCGGTGCCCAATGATGATCTTCTTATCGCCTCCCAGCAGCCTCCCTCCATCTTTTTATATTCCACCCTCCAGGACCCTCTGAACCCCCCCCCATCCCTTCCCAATCCCTTCATCCCTCCAACCCTTCCATAGACCTCTGCCATAGCACAGCAGAACCTCCTTCCATGTAGGTGCAAACCATGGAGATTTTACGGGGGTAAAGTGTACAATCCTTCACAAAGTCTGGTATGGATTTTATGGGGAACACTCTGTACATTGCATAGTGTGCAATGTACAGAGTGCAGGGTCCATAGTGTGCAATGTACAGAGTGCAGGGTCCATAGTGTGCAATGTACAGAGTGCAGGGTCCATAGTGTGCAATGTACAGAGTGCAGGGTCCATAGTGTGTAATGTACAGAGTGCAGGGTCCATAGTGTGTAATGTACAGAGTGCAGGGTCCATAGTGTGCAATGTACAGAGTGCAGGGTCCGTAGTGTGCAATGTACAGAGTGCAGGGTCCGTAGTGTGCAATGTACAGAGTGCAGGGTCCATAGTGTGCAATGTACAGAGTGCAGGGTCCATAGTGTGCAATGTACAGAGTGCAGGGTCCATAGTGTGCAATGTACAGAGTGCAGGGTCCATAGTGTGTAATGTACAGAATGCAGGGTCCATAGTGTGCGATGTACAGAATGCAGGGTCCATAGTGTGTAATGTACAGAGTGCAGGGTCCATAGTGTGCAATGTACAGAGTGCAGGGTCCATAGTGTGCAATGTACAGAGTGCAGGGTCCATAGTGTGTAATGTACAGAATGCAGGGTCCATAGTGTGTAATGTACAGAGTGCAGGGTCCATAGTGTGCAATGTACAGAGTGCAGGGTCCATAGTGTGTAATGTACAGAGTGCAGGGTCCATAGTGTGCAATGTACAGAGTGCAGGGTCCATAGTGTGCAATGTACAGAGTGCAGGGTCCATAGTGTGCAATGTACAGAGTGCAGGGTCCATAGTGTGCAATGTACAGAGTGCAGGGTCCATAGTGTGTAATGTACAGAGTGCAGGGTCCATAGTGTGCAATGTACAGAATGCAGGGTCCATAGTGTGTAATGTACAGAGTGCAGGGTCCGTAGTGTGTAATGTACAGAGTGCAGGGTCCGTAGTGTGTAATGTACAGAGTGCAGGGTCCATAGTGTGTAATGTACAGAGTGCAGGGTCCATAGTGTGTAATGTACAGAGTGCAGGGTCCGTAGTGTGTAATGTACAGAGTGCAGGGTCCATAGTGTGCAATGTACAGAGTGCAGGGTCCATAGTGTGCAATGTACAGAGTGCAGGGTCCATAGTGTGCAATGTACAGAGTGCAGGGTCCATAGTGTGCAATGTACAGAATGCAGGGTCCATAGTGTGTAATGTACAGAGTGCAGGTCCGTAGTGTGCAATGTACAGAGTGCAGGGTCCATAGTGTGCGATG